TGAGAAATAGAGAGATGCCAAGTGAGTTTGTCAGTGACTGTGGCGGGATAATGGAGGGATTTGATTGAGATGAATGGTGTTGCATTACATTATTTTGTAAAAGTAAAGTACTCAAGCTTATAATTTTTAACTAAAAATTCAAGTACTTTTTTTTTTTTTGCCTCTAGACAGTTTTCCTTCTTTAAATAGGTACAGCCTGACTGCTAGGATTGAAAGTATAAATTTTGTGAAAAGGAAGCTAATGCAAAAATATAGAAAAAATAAAATCTAGTTGAATCTAGTTGACTGTTGGGGAGGTTTTCAAGATCTAAGTTTGCAGTTGGTGAGTTGCAGCTCTCATTTCACTGCCAAAGCAGACTGCCTTATTATGCCAGCATAATAGGCCTGTCATAATCAGTTGCATATAATGGGCTAATGCTTTTATTCTCAACCATATTATTCTTTTGATAGAAAATAATGAATAATGTAAAGGCACACAGTTGTATTTGGATGAAACTATTGCATAGTTTGGCTATGGCTATGCTGGGAAAATTTGAATTCTTTAAAGTGTTTGCCAGTGTTTGTATTTAAGAAGAGAATGTGAACAAGATTTAGACCAAGATGCACGAGGCTACCTGCCTATGGCAAATACATTTTTGAATAAGTAATACTGTATATAGGTAGTGTATGGGTGGAGTGTGTTTGTTAAAACTGTTTGTGTGCTTTTCAGAACAGCTTGGCTTTCCTGTTTGCATAGAGCCTAAGCATTAGAGAGCTGCAAGGAATATTACGTAAGGACATCTGTAGACTTTAATTATCCACAGGTTTTGTTTTTTTTTTCCTTTTTAATATCAAAATAAAATCAAAGAAATGTTTATCAACGTATTAGAATTCTGCTGGCTGGTGTCCTAGAAGTTCATTGAAGGCAGAGCAGTGTTTTGACATCAAATTGTACCTGAAGAGTCATAGAGCTGGGCTGGAGAGAAGAAAACTTAGGAATTAGTCAAACTCTTTTTTACTTAAATTATTTGAAAGGATCAATTAAGAAGTCATTTTAAGATAGGTTGACTGAGAAGCTTCTTTTTATCTCAGGCTTATAATTTTGATATAAGCATATATTTGATTGGCTTGTTTGAATGGAAACAAACTTTGCCTGCACGAAAATGCAGCTAGATGCAGTGCAAAGTTACTTGTTTCCTGTGAGAAAGGTGCATAAATCCACCCCCAGTATGTAGATATGATTCTTTTCACCACACCTCATCCTTGCAGTACTTGAATAGATACCTCCCCTGCATTTCATTTTTATGAGAATACTCTTTAGGAAAGTAACCCCTTTAAAGCATTTGTTGAGATAGTGGCCCTTGTGAAAGCCTTTCCTATTTGGGTCAGGCCATGCCATTTCCCCTGAGGCTGTCAAAACTGTTCTTGGTTTCTCTGAAAGGGATAAATCTCAAAAGTAAAGCAGTCATCTTCACATCTTTTTCTCTTTTCTCTTCTGAATCAGGCTTGCTGTATTCTTAGTTGATTGTAATAAAAGCAATTTTTTTTCCTTTTTTTAAAAATTTGTTGAAAACTTATTCCTTAGGGAAAACATTGCATTAAATAACTTTTTTGTATAGCTTGAAACTGGATATATGCATTGTAAAATCCAAAGAGGCAAATTTTTAGGAGTAATGCCTGTTTATTTACAATGGGAATACTGACGAGGACTTGGACAAGCATTCAGGAGAATAACCAGTCATTGATTATTCTTTGGTAATTGGGTGCCTGCTTGGCAGATGAGGTTCAGCGTGAGGGTGCAGGTTCTCTGTGGAGAATGCCCCTAACCACGTGTGTAAGTGATCTGCCTCTGTGCAGGGACCTCGGGCACTGGGGCAGGAGAAGCTTGATGCTGATAATACAAAGCTTTTTGCTATCCTCAGTGGTATTTTTGTATTCCTTTCTTTATCAGATGCCCTTAGGAAAGGATCAGTCCTAATCAATATTTTTTCTCAATTGGTTCAAACAGGCAGAAAAATCAATGAGCTGAACTAATGACATCTATTTTTATTTTCTTTTGGAAGACTGAGGAACAATTATAAAATTCTAAACAGATGTTACATTTGATTGGGCCAATAGTAGAAGAGGGTTGTGGTTTTTTGTTGCTTTGGTTTTTAAGTCCTTTTTTTTATAAATAAAAAAATGCTTGCCCAAACACAGTATAGATCAGAAAACTTCTTCAGAGTGTGTTGCACAGCTTGAGATTTACTATAGCTTGAGTATCTACTATAGTGCTTACACACTAACTTTGTTATTGTAGAAGCCAGGCTGCTTTGAAATTCAGGGTCTGGTGAAAATGTCGAACACTGGAATACTTAGCACAAGAGCAAGAGTGGCAAATGTCATGAAGTAAAGGTTGGAGGTTAAGTCTGGAAAAGACATAGATTCATACCTTTTGGAATGACTTTGTAGAAATGAATTTTAGAGTTTTTACTGGTCAGTTCTTTTAATTCATTTTTTAAAAAAATCTTTCCCCATCTCCTAAAGAGTGGAGGAACCCTCCCACCTTTTTTTTTTTTTTGGAAGCATCTGTATGGATCCCATTGCATTTCCAAAATCCCTCCAGTGGTCGGGGGAGATGCTGGGGTAGCAGGGAGGGCTGTCTTTTATGTGGCTGGGCCGCGGTTCCTAATTGTGTTTGGCAGCTGCTCTGAGCGAGCAGGGCTGTGCTGCTGACCCCCAGAGTCCCTGCCAGCCTCGGCGCTTCTGCCGTTCTGGGAGGGGGCCCTCGCCTCAGCCCCTTGAAATGACAGCTAGCACAGTGCTTCCCCCTTCCCCACAGGCTATGGAAAGAAATTTGCCTTCAGTCCTCTCGGTCAAGAAGGTCAAGTGTTGGCCGAAGTGAGAACTGGTTTCATTTCTTCTTCTGGCTAGTGTTGGTTTTGCTTTTCACAAAACGTTGCCGAGGTTTCTTGCGCAGTGTTCACCTCTTAAACTGTAGTAAATGTTTAGAATAGGATCTTTGCTAAATTGAGGTTTATACTGAGTAAGCCAGATATTCTGATTTTCATGTTTTCTGCGAAACAATAAAATCTTAACTATTTGACCAAAGTAAAAATTAGAAGACATTGGAACAGCCCACCAGTAGATTTCCCCCTGCATGTATTTGCTATATACTTTTGTCACCCTATCAGAGTATCTCATTTCAGTATGAGTTTCAGATTAAGAATTCTGTTTCAAAGACTGTTGTAAGAATAACAGAGAAGAAGTGAAGCTGAGAGGAAGCTATTTCTATGCAGTAACATTTTTAATAAATTTTGATCTTCACACTTTTGTATAAAATACTTAACACTTTTGGGCCTTCCTTTAGTTTGTGATGTGGCAATTCTTTCACATCCCACTCTATTCAATTAAAATATAAGATTTTTATGCTCAGATTAGTCATCAAACAAGAAAAGAGAAATTTCAATGATGATACAATGCAAAAAAAGAGCTTATTTTATATATATTCTCTAACTGTCTGAAGTCTTAATTTTCTGCTAATCCCAGTGCACAGTAAGGTAGAAGGCATTTAGTACCTTACTGTGGGCTGTATGAGTGAACCTCACCTTTCACATCTCCTCACACCAGACAGATCCGTTTCGATGGTCTACTATAGTCCAAAAATACATTTATTTATGAATGAGCTATTTGGGCCTCAGAAGGGAAGTGAGGAGAGGCAGGAGCAATGAGTGGCCTGTGCTGCTGTATCCCAAGCACTGGAGTCATTCCTGCCATAATCCAGCCCACAGCAGCTTTGGGGAAACCTCTGGAACCTGTGTGGGGACAAGGGCTCCTCCTGGAGAGCAGCTGCATGGGACAAGGAATGTTGGCTTGGGAGCAGCGAGGCTGAAGGAGGAATTAGGTGGGGTTTTGGTATAAAAGTTACTCCAGTTAGCAGTTCCTGTCTTAGCATCACCTGACAGTGAAATGTCAGTGCAGATGAGTCTAAGCAAGACATGCCCGTTGTCCTGCCAGCTGTGTTTACCCCCTTGTCTGGGAAGGCTGCACCATGTACTGCCCATGGCTGAAGAAATCCAATTCCTTCTGAGGCTGCTGCTTCCACGTGGCCTTAAACCACTGGCAAACATTAAGAGCAGTGTGTCTTTAGCTGTGTGCAGTGTGGAGTGGATGCTGTTCCATGAGGAATGCTGTATGCACCAGCCAGGAGTGAAACACGATGAATTTTTACCACCTGGTACCAAGAACATTTTCTGTACAGACAGTTCTATGGGTTTCTCTCCATGGCAGGATTTTCAGACTAAAGCTAAGCGTAAGATCACCCGTGGAAAAACTGTGTTGTTCTAAATCACCAACATTCATTTCAGTTTTACAGAGGAAATCCAAATAATCTGAGGTCAAACAATATACAATGCACTTGTTAAGTGTTTAGAATGTTTTTGTTTGTACTGCATGGGAAGGGAAGAAAAAGGGTAGGGGTTCAGCCACCTTGTTAGCTTGAAGTGTTTAAAATGTCAATTTTTCATGTTCTGTTCATTAATCTACTCTGTTATCTCTTGTGTGCATTTGATTTTTTTGGACAATTTTATTCCATGTTTTTATGAATGTAATCTAAGTCTTGATTTCTAAGTATGTGCTAAAACTTAATGTCATGCTATAAACTCTTAGCAGTTTTTATCAATTATGTTTATATTGTGTAATAGAAGAAGTGTTATATTGCAAACTAAACAAAGGATTATGATTTTTGTTTAAAATTTAAATATGAATTAATTATTTCAGATGTTTTCAGCTGAAATGGTTATGGCTTTCTGGAGGCTCACAGCTAAACTTGCTCTGCCTTTCTGTGTTATGCTATAGTACATACTCTGAACATTGATTTTAAAAAGTCTACATTTTTTTGAACTTTAGAACCTTTACTGAATCCCAGTAAATTCCTATAAATGCCAAGAGCAGTAAGTGTGGTTAATAGTTTGTCAGCCTGGCATATTAACAGCTGCATTGTTATAGAGCTTAATTTGACTTTTCTCTGTGTACTTTTGTAGTCTAGTCTGCTTCGGTCTGACATGGGGCTTGGCAGTGCAGGCCAGCTGTCATCCTCTGCAAAGCCTGGAACACCCTACTACCCATTTTCTGGCACAAATCAGCGCCGACGGCCACTTCATGACTCATCAGCTCTTGGTAAGTAATACAGACAGATTTAAACTTTTGTTCATGATGCTTCTCTGCAGACTTTTTTTTTTTAACAGTTCATTTAATATACAGGAGATTGCTCTGTGCTGAGCAAGTGAAATTACATCAAACTGCTATGTAGGAGAAAAACTGGAATTATTAACATTTTCTTTGAGATGCTAGCTTCGATTCAACACTGGTCAGTCTGGCTTACAAAACAAACAAGAAACTCTAATAAAACCCTTAATTGCAAAAGCAATAATGACAGATGGATAGGAGCTGATGACCAGCTGAGTGCCCTTAACCCGTGCCATCATTAACTCCTGGAAATGCCTGACCTTGAGGTCATTACCATTATTTAGTAGGGGAAGGACACAAAGGGGAAACAATTATCCTTTTATATGCTAAAAGTAACTTTATTCAGGGCAATATATAGTTCATTGTAATTGGTTCAACATGCCTTTAAAGATCTTAGCAATTGGAGGCTAGTAGTTTATCCTAAAATCAAACTACCTTACAAAATATGCAGGCAGGAACTTGCTTAAAAATTGTTATAATCCTGTGACAGTATTAGTATTTTAATCTGGGGATAGTTGGAGGTGAATGGAATTTTCATACTTGGTCATAGACAGTGGTAATATTTTATAGCTTTCTAATTCTGTTGAATCAGAATCAAGAATGAGCCAGCTCTTCTATAGTATCTGCTATAAGATTATTGTGAATAATTGGGTGTACAAATTTAAAAAAAATCTTTTTGGTATAAAAAGAGAGACTGTAACCTTATATTCTAGTTTACCATTATATTCTAGTTATATAATCTTATATTCTAGTTACCATATATTTAGGTGTTAGTATGATAGGTCATTAGAATTTCTCTAATTATGTAGTTGAGTCTTTAATGCCCCTCATTCTGTATAGGACTTCTATTCCATAGTAAAAATCTTGTTTGTTGGAACCATGTAACTCCAACCATACTTTGCCCAAAATAAAATTGTCAAATGCAAATTGCTTTATGAAGTAACTTTAATATTAACTACAACTGCAAACAACTTGGACACTAAAATAGTCCTGAACATGTTTGAAATTGTTTTTTAAATATTTGTTATTAAAATATACTACTTTAGAACATAATCTTATGTATCATAGGATCATTTAGTCTGAAAAAGCCCTCTAAAACCATCGAGTCCAACCTTTACCCCAGCACTTCCCAGTCCACCACTAACCATGTCCCCAGGTGCCACATGTACACATCTTTTAAATCCCTTCAGGGATGGTGTCCCCCACGTCCTGGGCAGTCTGTTCCAGTGCCCAACAGTCCTTTGAGTGAAGAAATTTTTCCTGACATCCAACCTAAATCTCCCTTGGTGCAACTTAAGGCCATTTTCTCTTCTCCTAATGTATGTCTGTATATATGTGTTTTAAAATACCGTATTTGTATGATCTTTTTACTTGTTGTCAAACCAACTGCTGTTTAACTTGGGGTTGGCTGTCTTTATGGAGATGGTTGTAAGTATTCCTGTTGCTCAGAATACCAGAACAAACACAGCAGTTCCTCACACCTGTTTCAGAAAAGGAACTCTCTTAGAAAAGTTCAGTGGAATTGTTTACAGCTTGAAAGGGTGGTTGAGCTTCAAGAGAAAAGAATTGTGTTTTAAGCTGCTGCTGATGGAGTTTTAGCCCACACTAAATTGGTTTTGGTGAGAAGCTGCTTACAGTAGTAACCTGCTCTGGGTTTGAGGGGGGTGTTGGAGCTGGGCACAGGGTTCTCCAGAGGTGCAGGGAGGTCACTGTGCTGTGCAAAGGAATAGAGCCTGGGAAGTTCCTGATATTATTAAGTGAAACAAATGGAAGTGAAGTGTGGAGATTTCAGAGTATATTTAGATTTTTCTTTGAAAGAGAAGCTCAGAGGGTATAAATGTGTTCAAAATGGTGATATTCCTCTTTCTGTCATGATTGAATTTGAGGCTTGTAGGGATATGGCAGGTGGTGGTTACAAATTCATGGAAATGTTTTTCAAGGAATGTCAGGAGGAGGAAGTAATCTTTTATCTCAAGTCTTTTCCAATAGCTTGAGAAAGTCTGAGTTTTCTTTTTTTTTTTTTTTTTAATGGACTTGTTAAGTGCTACAAATCTTCTGCCTGAGAATTTCTAACAAAGTCAAATTATGCCCATTTTATCCCCGAGAAGGAGTTGTCTGACCAGGATTATAACAAGCTCTTGTTAAATTTCATGTTAAATTGCATTGAAACCAACCAGTGTTCTCTTCCAGGTGACATTCTGAATCCAATGTAAATATGTTTTCCAAAAGTCCTTTTCTTTGTGAGCCCTATGGGAAATGATGAGAGTAAAGATATCCAGCAGATATTTCACCTTATCTCACTTTTATCATGTCATCATAAAAGTTCTGAATGAAAACAGAAAAATAAGAATTTTGTGGTTTGATTAAAGACTTTATTGGTTGACTGTTGAACTGGTAATCTTGCCAGATACTCATCTTCAAAAATCAGTTGATTTGTAATTTGCATGCAGAGTTTTCAGATTAATTGTATTAGCATCTGAATTAAATTGGTTCAGATTCTTGGTTTAGGTAGAGGAATTGCTGGGTACTTCTGTTATAATGCAATACCTACTGGAAGAAAGAAGTAGGTATCATACCTCCAACTTTACAGTTACATGCAAATTTGAGATGTATTGACTTTGTTACTTAAGGAAAGTAATTAGGTCATTAAATTTGCTGTTTATTTACAACCTTGGTTGACTCTAAAAACTATAGAATGTATATCACATTAGTATTCGTAGAGTATCAATCATGTCAAATTCCTTTTGGATAGTTCTGTCTTTACTCTGATCTGCAGAAAAGAAAACATTTCTCTTGCTAATAAGTCCCATTCTCCTCCTTGTATATCTCAAAACCATATTTGTTTCTTAGCAAGTGTATAAGGTCATAAGTATACCCTTCAGAGTAACTGTTCTTAGGAATAACTGTTTTCCTTAGGAAAAGAATTTAAAGTAACTATTTAGCAAAGCTGTATTTTAGAGGAGAACATGGTTATGTTACATTTTTATATTGATGTGAAAGACAAATCTCTTTGCCAGGGAATAAAAAAAAAACCAAAACAAACAGAAATTGGAAAATAAGACATTCATCATGGAAGGAAAAAACTGAGCAGTGTAGCTATTTATTCTTTTCCACCTGTAATGTAGATACTTGATGAAATGCTATTTTTCTTGTACAGATCCTCTACAGACAAAGAAAGTAAGAAAGGTGCCCCCTGGTTTGCCTTCTTCTGTAAGTACTACATTTTTTACTTGTAGTGATAAAAAATTGGCTCAAATAGCATTCTTTTTACCTGCCATACATACAAATTACTTAACTTCAGCACTAGGAGGGCTGTCTGCTGGACATGAGCAGCTAGGCTAGGTAATTGGGAGTGGTTCTGCAGGACTAAATACACATTTGATGTGGAATTTTTAGATTTCATAGCAGTGATTTGTAGCTCGCTCATATGCTCCTACCCACTTGTCCCTGTCATTTGAATTCCTCTCTTGGGAAGAGAGCTGGGCCAGGAGCTGTCAAAGAAGATCTCCTGTACAGGTCTTTTGATGTTTAATTAGTCATTATGTTGCTGAACAGGAGGACAGACAGAGATTAATAGCTGAGAATCTTAGAAATTTACATTTGTAATAATCCCAGTGGAGCTGAAGACATTAAGATTCGGAGGACATGTACAGCTCAGCTTGCCTCAGTAGGACTGAGGTTATTAATATGCATAAATCACCGAGTCAGATGTTCATTGTGAAGTCCTGGTGGATTTTAAAGCCTTCATTAAGCCTTTCCTAACTTCAGCCTAGCATCAGGAAAGCTTTCAAGCAACTAGTTTGTTGATCCCTCTTTGCTTGAAAATTTATCCTTCGAGAATAAAGGGCTTTGATAAAAAAGGTTGGAAGGGTTTTGGTGGAAAAATCATTAATGGCTGTGATAATCTAATGCTATAGGGGTGTTTTGTGGTATTAAATATGCTTTATTCTTAAAAGGAAGAAAATTGTTTATAAATGAATCTGCATTTAAAAATCCACGTGAAGTGAAAAATCCCCAGTGAAGTGAAGGACAGAATTATTTTTTCCCTTGCTCAGAACAAACAGGAGGGGAGGGGGAAGCTCCGCTGCCTTGCGGGATACATCTCTTTGTTGTGTAAATGGATGTTGGGCTTTTATTTGGCAGTACTTAACACATGGGCGCAGGTGCACTTGGATGAGTCATAACTCAAAGCCGGATAGGCTGAATAGAGCGCACTGCACAGGAGCAGAAATACAGCGGGAGCAAAATGGGGCTGAGCTTTTCATTTCGTACTGAGCCTGAACTACGCATGGTGTCTTCTCGTCCTCGCATCTCCCCTGTTCTCTCCTCCCTCTCTTTCCCTTCTTCCTCCCCCGGCTCACGATGACACAGACAGAACCCGGGATCTGAAATGCTATTTTAACAGTACTTCCAGATGGAGCTGAGATAGTGTGGATAGCCTGGGGCAGCTGTGCTCTGAACCTGCAGCCTACCTGGAAGCCAGGATTGCAGCTGCAGGCACTCTTAAAAGCTTTTGCTTGCATAAGCACTTGGGCCCCACTAGAGGCTGAATAGCTGCTTGATAAACAAAATGAACACAATGCCTCAAATCATTATTCCCGAGGCCAGGAATATTCTTCTTTCCCCCCTCCCTTTTTTTTCCCCCCCCTTCAGCAGCAGCTAAAAATAGTTTGGCAATTTACATTTTAACAGTTGCGTGTTATGTAGGGTGGCTTTACAGTCTAGCAGATGATTTCTGCTAGATTAACAAAAATATATTTAAAATGTCAGAGAAGCTGAAACACATAGCTGTGCAATTTTCGTGAAATTTATTACAGTAATTCTAGGCAGTAATAAAGCTTACGCTACATGTTTAATATTTAGTAGCATCAGCCAGGTAAAGAGATCATTTTGGAGAACGAAAGATTTCTCTCATTTGTCTTACCAGGCTTTAATTTTAACAAGCAGTATTTTTCAAATGGTTTTCATGTAATTCTTCTTCTGTACGAGTGGAGACAATGAAATGCTGATAGATTTTATTTGTATTAACATTGTACCAATCTGTGCAATTAAGTGCAGATTCTGCGAATAATCAATGATTGTGATGCTGCAGGTTTTAAGCACTGTTTCTCTGTATTTCAATGCTTTCACTGCTGAATAGAGCCTTGAAGTAAATGACACGTCATTAAAAAAATTGAGATACTGCGTATATGGAAGATGATACAAAACTAAATTTCACTGAGCATCATGAGAAATTTTAATTGAGTAGATCATTATAAGTGTAAGTGTAGTCTTTATTTTAAATATACCTTCCTAAGAAGTTGGAATGTATTGTGGGAAAAAGTTGCTTTAATGCAGAGAAGTTTAATTATAATATGAAAAGTCAGAGGAAAGATGATACTTAATTTTGTTATACAAATCTGTATTTTTTAATTTTTCAGTTCCTAAAATATTGGTTTCAGCAATGTTTTTGTTAGTATAAGACTGCCATGTCAACGGATACTCAGCAGTAATTTAATTTCCTAGATAACCGTAATTTAATAACAGTCTTGTAAGTAATAATGATTCAAAAAACCCCAAACAACCCTTCCTCTAGTTTGTTTCTTTCTCCCTTGGTTTTATGTGGTATTTTCTGAAATTATTTGTTTTGAGGTTTATCTTTTTTAATGTGTTCTTATCGGGGCCTAAAGTAAAAACAGTTACAGAGAAAAGTGCTGGTGAATTGCTTGGCTTCTTTCTGGAATGCAACTCAATCTGAATTTGTCCTCTTACTGTAAAAATTAAATGTTCCAGGCAAATGCATTTTTAAGTTTTTGTGTTGTAACTTGTTATGTGGTGACTCACTGCCCAAAACATTTTGGATGTTGACTTGCAAGCATTTATGTTAAACTACAACTACTAAATTTAAAGCACTCTGAGGAGGATACAAATTAAAAACCGTATTTTTTTTAAAGCCAGGTTTGAGTGAACAGCAAGGTTGCTATGTTGTTGATACTGTAGGGGGGGGCAATACTGTTCAGAGAGTTATATTGTCTTCAGAGATTGAAAACTGTTGTATTTCTGGGAATTCTTCTGATTGTAGGAGTTAACTAAGGCAGACACTAATAACATCATGTGACCTGAAAGCAGCAGCTCCTCGGCCAGGCAGAGCAGAGTGTCAGGGCTTCCAGAGAGCTGCTCCGGCTGCACAGGGAGAAGACAAACAAGTGAGGCTCTCTCAAATGCCCAGGGAGATCATCGCCCAAAAATGGATGGGCTGTGAGCAGAAATCTCCTCTTTACATGTGGAGTCAGGGAATATTTCAAACTAACATTTGTTATTAGTACCATAATCAGTGGCTATCACACGGTCATAATTCTAAGTAAAATAGTGTGAATATCTATCATCATTCTTTTGCTATTTAATTAGTGTCATATCAGCGAAATAACTGGAATACATTGTATCTGTTGATTTTTGTTAGAGAAAATGAGCTGTGACGTACGGACATAAATGGCTGCTTGTTTTCTGTGTAGTTTCTAATAAGTATTTTGAGTATATTAGGCTTTCCATAGTACCTGAGATGATCAGTTAATATTAAACTTGGAATTGCACTTATTTAATAAGAGATTGTCAAATGAGTATTTTCTGATACCAGGGATTCCTTTCTAAATTTAAACTTGTATTTTTCAATACATGTAAGACAACTTGTACTTTCATTATAGGGATTCCTCACATGTCACGCTCTGTGATGTGTATAGTCCATGGGTGGTAATTTCTTGCAAGAACTATTTACGGTGCAAAGACACAGCAAACGATGTTTGCATGCATAGAACTACCTCCCATTTAAGGTGCTTTTCTTTCTGCTTTTCTGCCCGTCTTTTAAGACTGAGCTTGTAGAGATGTTTCAAAACATGTTACATAAATATACTAATGGTACAAGAAGAAAAATAATAGATGTTACTCCCTTCTGTGTTCTCTCCTTCCTCTACCCATCCTAAAGGGTAAAAGGAGATTATTTGAAATGGTAGAATGGGAAGTATCTTCTGAATGATTATCTGAAACCAAGTTTTTGAGAGTTTAAAGTTTAGACTGTATTAGAAATAATATGTTCACCACACTGAATGGTCTCTGTCAGTATTAGCAATTTCCATGTCTATTGAAGTAGCCTGGTGTAAAGCAACACCATTGGAATACTTTATGAACTGTGTGGCTCTGAGTCAAAACTTCAGAGCATCCTGGGTAGATACTTCGTGTGATGTTGAACTGACTGTGATGTTGTGTTTAACTGACTTACTAGGGAGACATTTTTTGCTAAGATTTTTTTTCCCACTGTCCACAAACAGTGCCCAAATGTGAAAAGCAGGATTTAGTCTGTTCAGATCTGTTCTGAGCCGCCTTGCACAGTCAAGTGATACATTCAACTGTCACTTGTCTTTAATAGCGAGAGCTCTCAAAGCCAGCAGGAACTCTCCTGACCCTCTCCTCTCTGCACTGCTGTGTTTTGGAAAGCAAGTTAAATAATGAAACTGAGTAAATAAATCTTTATGGATAATGCCACACAGAACTTAGGATTTCTTCCTCAGTACACAGTCTTCCATCTTCTGCTTTATGCTTGTTCTTTGGTCGCTTGATTTATAGAATAAAGTTTTTAGGGACTTGCTAAGTACTGCTTTTTAAACACTGTACCTGAACAAAATGCAAATGTATAAAACATTCAACCTCTAAATTTATGTTACAAACCAAGTAAAAATATTTGAGATTTTATGTTTAACAAGAAAAAGGTCTGTTTTTCTGGTTAGATTATTGTAGGGGTTTTTTTCAACATGGCCTTTATTTGATATCTATCTGAAAACTGCAGTAGCCTCAGATTATAGCATCCCACCTGCTCTTTGCTACATGAGAACATTTAGCTGTCATTAAACAACCAGGCAGCCCATTGCAAAGTCTTGCTATGAGAGTTCAGCTCGAGTTCTCATTGAATTAGGGTGAAGGTACTTGAGCAACCCTCTCTTAAAAGCTTTTTTAAAAAATTGCAATCAGATTATTTTTCCAAACTAACTGTCCTATCATCTGACTGTAGTAAACTAATGTAAGGTTGCTTAATTGAGAGATCTTCTCTGAAGATCTGAAAATCCCGTGTATATATAAATCCATGATGGATATATAATGATGTCAAGTAATTTCTCTGTGTTTGAATTTACTGCAGGTATTTATTTTTGAAGTTTTCATAACATATCAAAATGAGTGTATTG